GTGAGAATTTCATGCAAGCATGATTGGAAACAATAGGCTGGGTGAGATTAGAATAAACAGCCTAAACAAGTAGAACCAGAACTTTCGGACAACACTAGTCCTTCCTCAGTGGCGAGTGAGTGAGGGTAGAAAAAGCTAGATGGTATAAAGTGAGAATTTCATGCAAGCATGATTGGAAACAATAGGCTGGGTGAGATTAGAATAAACAGCCTAAACAAGTAGAACCAGAGCTTTCGGACAACACTAGTCCTTCCTCAGTGGCGAGTGAGTGAGGGTATGTATATATATATATATATATATTCAATAAGGCATTTCTTCACTATATATATATATATATATACACGAAAATAGATTTGTAATACAGAATAAATTGATGTCAGTCTCTTGGAACATAGAATATTTCGAACGCGCCTGCGTTCTTCTTCAGGGCTAGACGACTAAAAGTAGGCCTATCAACATGTACAAAATTGCATATCCATTACAAATAAACTATTGAAACAATAATGCATACAGCTGTCTCTTATACACATCTAGATGTGTATAAGAGACAGATATATATATATATATGCCTATTATCTCATTTTATCATTTGAATGGATTTTTTGTGAGAATGTGAAAATGCTATTAATGTTTGAAAATGAACAAGAACAACAATATCAACAGTAGCAATCACGACAGCACAGCAACACCGACAGTAAAAGCAACAAGAATAGCACAACTACAGCAACAACCAATATGTCCACTGATTAATCTCACATAAGCAGGTACCAAGTTTACTGCTACTTGTGGTAGTCTACCGCTTTTTGCGATGATCTACTGCGCTACCATAAGCCTACGCCTTCCTACCACATGAAAGCAATTCTTTCGTAAATTTTTGAAAATTTATATATTCAATTTTGAAGATCAGCTCTAGCTTAGGCAAAAACATGAATCACGATGTTAAAAAACAATCGTAAACAATCACAAATAAGTTTATTCCACTCTCTACCATCACTGTTTATAATGCATTTGCAATTAATTACGGTAGCTGCTAAAAACATGGAATCAAAATATCATTGTTTATTAAAAGTTGATGCGCCCATACTTACAACGCCCGGCCTGACCATGCCTGCAGTGTGATTTGATAACATGCCCTCTGACCCGTACAACAGGCCTACTGCTAACTTTTTGCATAACAACAATAAACTTATCTCTTCACAAATGTCAAAGACTGTTGATGAAGGTACAGAATCTTTATATAATAAGGCAGAAAAATGGGAAGGAAACTGCTATGGTAGATCATGTTGTGTAAAGTTCACTGTGTTGACCAACAGTCCAACGATGTGATTTTTAGGAGTCCATAACACGAGGCACACACGCAAAAAGGGAACTGATCGTCAGCTAGATTTAGCCTACAAGTGTAGGAACTCAAAATATAACTCTACCGGTATATCCACAAACAAAATCTAAATCTGAACCCTGCGGGTGTGTACGTTCCTTTGTACGCAAAAACTAAAAGCAAATTTGGGAATTGCGATAACTAATAGTAATTAAAGTCATTCATTGCATTTTACTAAATTTTTGCCAAATATTAGTTATCGTGGTATAGAGTACCACAGTCGTGTTGTCACAACACCAGGTGGCACCCTCTGGACATTGGTTACCGTTCATTATGCCTGAATGACTTCATAATCTTAATGGTTTAGAATAGGCTTTCTGGAATAGGTATTTTAAATACCAAAGCTGAGCACAACTAGGGTATAGGCAAAAGTAAAAATAATTATACAGTACTACTACTACTACACTCGTTTGCCATCAAGCAGGAAAATCACTGAGTCTTGTTAGCAAAACAATAGTGTAAGTAGGCCTAAGATGTAGTCATGGTACAGTATTCAAATTTTTTTTTTTGGGGGGGGGGGAGATTTTTTTGTTAGAGGAAAAATATTTCAACTTATTTTAAACCACATAGTAAATAGTGTAGAATAAAAACATTTTTAAGAAAAAAAAAATCAGCATACAAAGCTGTTATGGAGCTATGAATTTTTAAAAAACATGAGGTCAAGCCTTAAAGCTTATCTAATTTTTGTTGGTTACACACCACTGACTTTGGGCTGAACTTTGACATGTCTACCGATTCGTAGAAAAGAGGACATAACATAAATAAAACATTGAAACAGTATTAACTCACAGAATCCTTATATCACTACGGTAAAACATGTTGTTTGCCCTTCGCATAGATAGTCATCATTATTTAATTTTTAAGTCAATACGCATATTTATCATGTTATAATTATCAGAATAGGATATTAGCAGTCATTCAATGAATCGAATTGACTGAGAACATACAATACATAGTGTTCCAAACATCGCAGTCGAACTTGTTTGCGGAGGCCTAAACGATCCTCGCTAAGCTTATACTAACTTCTAGCGAGCACGTTCCTGGACCTCGAGTAGGCCTAGGCCTCCTCACCTATTAGGCCTAGCGTAGGCCTGGATTTGCCTGTTTGAAAAACACTGCAAACGTCAGATAGCGATACATTTTGCTCAATATCACTTCCATCCGGAAAGCCTCTAGTCCATTCTGATCTCTTATGACTTCTGCAGACCTTTGTTAATGATTTAAAGTACCAAAAACAGCATTTTTACTGGCTGTCACAGCACCACCGCTTTTGCCT